GGACTTCAATCAACTAAAATTAAGAGAACTATGTAACAGATTTAATTTAAAAAGATCTGTAACTAAACCGACTAGAGGACACATGCAATGACGCACACTCGGGCCAAATGTCTTCTAATCAAGCCCAGTAAAAGACAGAAAACTCCGGCTACGTCAAATTATCTCTTTCACAGACGCTATACCTAAACTACCACGTCTTCGTATTGGAAATGAGTTAATAGAAAGGGTCAACGTTTTTAAATTACTTTAGCGTGTCGTTCCAAAATAATCTAAAATGGAACGCACATGTTGAAAAGATTACACGAAAAGCAAATAAACGCCTCTACCATCTTAGAGAATGCAGGAAATCGCAGTTGCCAGTTGAAGTGGGTATTATTACCTATCAATCCAAAATAAGACCAATTCTCGAGTATGCATTACCTGTCTGGGCGGGACTCCCTAATTACCTGCGAGATGAAATAGAGCGGGTTCAATCCAGGAGCTTACGAATCCTTGGTCTGGAAAAAGATTACTTGCCACCGTTGAACGAAAGAAGGGAAGAGGCAACTAGTCGAGAAGTGGATAGGTTTATGAACGATCCAAACCACCCTGTCACAGTGTTTTGCCAAAATTAATTAACAATCAGTACAATTTAAGGAACATTGACCGGAATCGCAATATATCATTCTTCTCAGGAACTGAAAGGCATAAACTCTCTTTTTCAGGAAGAGCTTGTAAATATTTATAAATAGTTTCAACTTCTTAGTTAGTTTTCTAAATTATCTTACAACAATTTGTAATATAAAGACATATTCACAGCATATACTTTCTTAAACAAGTAATTGTAAGTCCATTGTACTTTTTTATCTTAAGATGGATGAATAAAGCTATTATTATTATTGTTATACCTGCTGGCAACCGTCATCCCGCATGTATTTTTCTTGCTAAGCTTGGGGAAATAATATACATAATGATGCAACGCTATATACCTTTTCGGGAAACCTATGGAAAAGTAAGCGCGTGTGCTTCCCATGGTACTCCGTAGTGAGGTAGACCGATGACGTATAAAATCGAATATAAACACTCAAATTGTTGGGTATTAACTTCTTATTAACCGAGGTCTGTACAGAGAAATATCGGACCGAGGTCTATTTTTTGTACAGATCGAGCCCGTAGGGCGAGGTTTGTACAAAAAGACCGAGGTCCGATATTTCTCTGTACATACCGGGTAATTTAATTAAGCGAGGTTAATAAAAAGTTCATTATATGGCATATTATACCATAAAAACAATCGCTTTCAAAAGAAATCCGTCTGGCATAACACGAATATATGAATATGCACCACTCCCC